CGTGTGCGAGTTAGGCTAAGTTGATGCTAAACCAAATGGGAGTTTTTTTGGGATTTTTTGCACTGCACACATTTAGCCATTTATCAACACGTATCGACACATCACTACATTATCGGCACAACTTAGAATTTCCCTCATTTAGAACGCAACTTAGCCTAACTCGCACACGATGTGATGTGTCGGTACGTGTTATAAATGGCTAAATGTGTGCAGTGCAAAAAATCCCAAAAAATTTCCCATTTGGTTTAGCATCAACTTAGCCTAACTCGCACACGTCCATAATACTAAAATTGATTTTAAACTATTTTCAAGGCTTGACTGAATGAAGTGAATTTGGTACTAACTTATTATATTCCTGATCAAAATTTCAAAATAAATAATTTATTTCATTTTTTAATAAGCAAAAAGAATAATCTACAGACATTAGATACCATTGATTTCAAGAAAATATAACTTGCTTTAAAGTGATGGGTGTAGCTACAATAACAAATAATAGATATAAATAAAATACTTAATTTATTTATTGAGGGAAATAAAAAATTATGTCGGTATGGCAGTGACTGTTGGTATATACCAGAATTTAGAGTAGGGTAAATTAGATAAAAATTAAGTAAATTAGATGTTATCATTGTGAAAATTTTATAAGATGTTTAATAAATAAATAAATTTTAAAACTTTTAACCAAAAATTATAAATAAATGCAATAAATAAATTTATAAATATTTACATAAGTACAGTACAAAAAATTCCTAGGAAATTTCATTTTACTTTACTTCAATTTACTCGAACTCGCACATGGCTTAAATAATTAAAAATATTTTAAATATTAAATACAACTCTGTGTTCATTAACTGTCGATTATTAATGAATTTGCTGTGGTAAATTATATTTTCCTAGGATTTTGTATTGGCGGCTTCTGTTGCAATGGGTGGCAGGAGTTATTATTGTGACTATTGTTGCTGCTATTTAAAAAATAATTTAAGTGTACGAAAGAGACATGAATCAGGATTATCACATTCCATAGCAAAGTATACCTATATGCGACAATTCGAAGGTACATTACAATATTTATGTGTTGGATATATTGAATGATTTATTTTTTTTATTTTTAGATCCATACGTTGTATTGATGGAAGAAAACGCAAAAAGTCCATGTATTCATTTTCAAAGGAACATCTGTAGATTTGGTTTATATTGTCAACACTCTCATTTTAGTACAGCAGATAAACAAAAGTTACAAAAAATTGGTAAATATTCTTTACATATAAACATTTTTTAACATATTCTTATTAAATTCTATTATTGAAAAAAAAATATTTTTATTTTAATTATGTGAAATTTTCCATTTTAGTTAACACTTTGCAAAAAAAGAATAACTTAAAGCACGCAAAAAGTATAGCATCACATAATTGGAGAAATATATTACCTTGGAATGTTACTGCCACCGGCAATCACAGAAAAGCTAAGTTATCAAAGAACCTGCCTCCGTCTTTGAAGGCAATTAATTTTAATATATTATGTAAAGAATTGAGTAACGAAGAGTGGGGACGCATGTAAATTTTGTTAAATGTGTTTTCCATCAATGTTTGTTATTAGAGCATTTTATAGTATTTTTATAATTATAAAATACATAATATAGTTATTATGTGTATAATATAGTTATTATGTTAATATATATGTATTCCTTGTGTTATTTGTTTTTTAATATTATTTAAAGACTGTGTGTTAATAAAATTATAAAACAATGAATTTGGATTTATAGGCAATATAAAGCGACATACATTTTTATTGCTTTCGTTTTACACAAATTTGCAAATTAAGCAAATTTAATTTATTTTATAATTTATGTTGTTTGGTACTTTATTATTCATAATGTCAAAAATATTATATACAAAATAATAAATTTGTGTATAATAATATTAATTTTAAACATATGATATTATTTATTCTAATAATGCTATGTTGTTGTAACCTGTAGGGTTGTTGCCTTTAAGAATGTTAAACGGCATTTTGATCTTCGAACTCGATGAGTGGCTCCGGGACTGGGATTAGAGTTGTTGAAACCCTAATAGTGCTATGATTTGTAATTTGTAATTTGCTTAGACGCAAAGTTGTACCATCTCATCGTATTGATCAAGAAATAGGCTTTATAATGATGGAATTGATTTTATTGATATCTGTCGATATATGTTTTATGTATGTGTCATGTTTTTCAGAGTATAGCAGAGGAATAATTTAAGTGTTTTTTGTTAACAATAAATTCTTTCTTATATTCGTTTACTTTGCCATTTCTTAAGTTGGATATTTCTTATATTGGACGATTAACCATTTAACTTTCGGTTAATTAGACTTTTTGTAAATTGGACTTTCATTAAATTAGACTTTTAGTGAATTGTACATTTGGTGAACTGGACATTCAGTAAATTTGAGCATTTAATAATTTGGATATTCAGTAAATTGAACATTAAGCAATTTGGCCATTCTGTAATTTGAACATTCAATAATTTGGACATTCAGTAAATTGAGCATTCAATAATTTGGACATTCAGTAAATTGAGCATTCAATAATTTGGACATTCAGTAAATTGAACATCAAGCAATTTGGACATTCTGTAATTTGAACATTCAATAATTTGGACATTCTGTAAATTGGACATTCAGTAAACTGAGCATTCAATAATTTGGACATTTTGTAATTTAAGCATTTAATAATTTGGACATTCAGTTAATTTAACATTTAGTAAATTTGATATCGGCAGTTTCACACATTGTTGAAGGCTACATCGATTTCGCTTTAAGTTTGCTATGTGTGCGTATGAAAAAGCTGTTCTATTGACTTCATCAAGAATTATATTATTCTAATTTTAAATATTTTTTTTTAATATAATGTCTTAATTTTTATGTGATACTTTTAATACGGGTAGTTTGCCACCTAAACGAAAACGTAATACTCGGAGTAATAAGCATAGAACTAGAAGAATGTGCTACTCTAATTGGACTATTGACATATTTAAATTCACACAATTCTTTAAATTCTTTTCCAACAACTTCCGTAAATAAATAGTTTCTGGCGAATTATGTCTTCAATGCCCTCTGCAAGTAAATCGCAATACGACATGTCATTGCAACAGTGTACATATATGATTGCGGTCTAGATTAACATCTGGTATTATATCAAGTAACAACTTCCTTGATACTCTATGTACTCCATTGTAAACTTATCAAAATAAACATTAACTTCGTTTACCAAAGTTAAATTATACCTCTTATATATCTTTTAGGTTTTTCTATTAGATAAATGAAAATAAGTTTAGTTTTTAGTTCACATATTTTTATATATTTTAAATTTTTAGTTTAAAGCGACAGTTCTTTCTTACGGTTCTTCTAATCATCATTTTAGATCATTTTCCGTTAAGTCTATAGGTAACACTTGATTCAATGTCATAGCTGTTATTGTTAATATTGTTGTTATTAGATTAGGCAAGTATTTTTTATGTGTATTTTCATTTTGATATTTCATCTATTAAAAAATTTATTTTTATTTCAAAGACATGTAGCCCTTACTTTATTTCGCAAACACACACACGTGATTTGCTTGACTTTTACTTTACAACCTTGCTGGACTGATGTGTCCAGTTATATTCAAAAATCTTTAATTTGGGATTGTTTAAACACTGTTGGCATAAAATCACGTCACCAGTGCATTGACACCAAGATAAAGACGCTTTAAAAGATTAAAGATTCATTCCTCTAGAACAAAAGCTTTGATTATATTATATTTATATATCATATTAGCATTTAAATAATAACAACAGTCCCCGTCAGTCCGTTACCCACCGAGCAGATAACATGTAGGGGTTACAAAATACATGGGTTGGGATGTGGATGAGTAATGTTGTGGTAATGGTGCGGAGAAAACGGAAGGAGTGGGGGATAAAGGATGTGTGGGATTGCAACCCGGGTCCAGATACCTAAACCCAACTACTTGAAGAGGGTTAGTCCAAAGCTGTCAGTCCGTAACCGCGAACAGTTCCGTTAAAATATTTCATCTTAAAGATATATATATATGTGTTAAATAATAATATTCTTAACTTTAAACTTAAAAATATATGTTAAATAATAGTTGTCTTAGTATTGAACTTAAACATATGTGTTATGTAATATAGAAACATTAAATATTATTACTTTAATTGTTATTGTTTTAAATTAAATCATTTTATTTGCATGTCCACATAGTAAAAATAAATTATTCAGAAAAATGGCGAAAATGAGTTGTCATAATAATAAGAACTAAGTCGAGCTGTTTTAGATAAATTAATAATAAAAAAACTTTGTTTTTTCTGCGAATTCGGCGTTAAATTATGTCATCGGAATTAATGGAGATTTAATAACAGATTTTGTTTGTTATAAAAACAGGTACTAAAAGGTTGCTCCGCAAACTAATATCTCAAAATTGTCAAGCCATATTGAACTATTTTGTTTACATTTAATAGCATATTTGAAGGAATAGTTTTATTTGTCGTATTTTCTTATTACTTTTGATAATTTCTCCATTGTACGGTCCACCTTTAAACTTATACTTAAAAGTTTTCCGTGATCTCCCAAAAATGATCTGGGATCTTGTCCACTGTAATTTTGCACGCTAGGGTTAGAACCATGAGCTAACAGAAAATATATGAAATTCTCTGTAAATGAAAATAAGAATATGTTTAATTACAACATTTAAAAAAACAAAAAAAAAAAACATTACTCATACCTGTATTTTTTCCGACAGCATGAAATAATGCAGTATTACCAGTCATCATTTCTCTAACATTTAGCAATTTAGTTTTTGCTGAATGTTTCAAGCTTTCTTGAATGTATTTTTCATCAATTTGCTCACACATACTGATATAGTAATCAATCGGATCCACTTCTTTAGAATCGCTAATTCTACAGTACTTAACGCAACCCATAAGACGTTTATCGACTGTGTTAAGCATTACTTCAGCATATGAAAATTGGTTTGACCTAAGTGAAAGATGCAACGGTGAGAGACCGTCGTCGTTTAATTTACTTAAAAGCTGCAAATCAATCTTTTCCATAAGTAATATAAAAGATTGTATGTTTATTTGGTTTATAATTGCTAAATGTATAACTGTATTAGAATTATCCCTCAAATCTTGCACATCCAAGTTATTGTCTAAAAGGATTTGCACAATTTCAGGAAAGCTATTATGGATTATCGCCAACTGCAGTAAATCCTGAATGAAATGAATTATTATAGAAGCATATCAAGAATAATCATACAACGTGGTTATTTACCTCGTCTTCATCTGTGTACAACGAATTCAAATCGACTTGCTTGAACTTAGTCCAAAGGAAAATGTGCTGCTTTAGTAAAAATTCGTCGTTATTGCAAACTGCTTGGTGTATAGGGCTAAAATAAGAGTAAAATTAATTTAAAATATGTGTGATATTTCGAAATACACTAGAAGGAAGGGTTATATACTGCTATTTAGGTCATACTTACAACATGCCATCAGTCACAATTTCTAAGTTCACATACTGTTCTTTCATTGTTTTTTGAATGTGGTCAATTTGCGAGGTATTACTTGAATTAGAATT